TCTTCTGTGGAGCTGCTTGTAGATTCTGACTGCTAACCTTGTGGTTAGCTGCCCAGTTTGTAGTCTACTATGTTAGCAGGGCTCCTGAACATAGTTGTTTCTAATTCTGCAACTAAATGTTTTTGCACCACCGTTTGGTGACCCTGTTTTGATAGAACATGGTACAATTCTCTTTCTGTATGATTGGTAGAATATTTTTCAGGTAATTTAAGGTAGGATCAGCACTGGACTGTGAACCACAGGTTGGCAGCTCACACCCACCAGCTGCTCCTTAGAACCCCTATATGGTTGCTGAGTCGGAACCAACTCAACAGCGTTTAACAATTTAGTTACATTTTTAAAATAAATAATTTGATGTCTCTTAAGGAGCTCTGGTAGCGTAGTGGTTATGAATCAGGCTGCGAACCTTAAGGTTAGCGGTTCGAAACTACCAGCTGCTTCACGGGAGAAAGATGAGGCTTTCTACTTCTGTAAAGATTTACACCCTTGGAAACCCTGTACAGGGTCGCTATGGGTCGGAACCGACTCGACGGCACTTAACAACAACAACAACAACAAAAGTTAAATTGGCCGTAAGATATTTTCAAGATTTTTTTTTCCCCTTCAGATCTACTATCAATACAAAGTTTTGAGATGCCCCAATTTTTTGTCTGTTTTTAAACAAAATTAGGTAGTTACCACTGAGGCCAGGGATCAGAGAGAAACTTGTACAGTGTTTTGTGAGACTAGCAGTCTTTTTCATATATTTGCATTACTTTATGTGTCACCTTTATACTCTCAGCTGGTCACTGCAGTCTTACAGTGCCAGATGAATCTCTGATAAAGACTATAAGATTGCCATTTGCATTGGAAATTTTGAAGTGCAAAAACATTAAACTGGAGATAGTTTTAAGTTTCCAGAAAGTAAATTAGTTTATCCTTGGTGGTAGTCGTGATATGTCGTGGAGTCAGTTCTGACTCATAGTGACCCTGGATAGGGTTTCTGAGACTGTAAATCTTTACAGGAGCATACGCTTCAGCTTTCTCCCAAAAAACAAGAGATAGTTCTGGTAGTTTTGATCTACTGACCTTGAGGTTAGCAGCCCAGCTCATAACCACTATGCCACCAGAGCTCCATAGTTTATTCTTAGGAACATAAATAGGAGGGGATTTTTTCCCTCAAATTATATGTTAATAGAAATTTGCCCAGTAACTTGTCTTTTTCATTGCTTTGGTGCTGATGATGTTGTGAAGTGCCATTGAGCCTGTTCTGGCTCATAGCAACCCTGTGTATGGTTTCCAAGGAGTGGCTAATGAGTTTGAACCGCTGACCTTGCGGGTCCAGTGTTTTATCCTACAGCGCCACATCAGGACTAGTGTCTTATTCCTAATTATTTACCTCTCCCTAGTATGTACAGTTAAGGTTGTTCACTTAGAACCATTTGGCCACTTTTTTAAAGGAAACTAGTCCACACTAGTAAACTATAATTTCATGATTCTGTTGAGCCCAGATTTCTTATTTTGTTGAAAACAGTTTGGTTTTCATAGTGAATCTAAAGAGCTCATCAGCAATGGTGTTTAGAACATTTGTATTCATCTGTGTAATACAGAGTTGTATTTTGTTGGTATCCCAACTTTGTTTAGAGTGCCTTCAGATTCTTTGCTGTTTATTCACTGAAGATGATTTCATGAACCCATCTGTATAATAGTTTGGGATGTATAAATTATATTCTCAATATGAACCTTTTCCTTTTTAAGAAAGCCAAATTACTATATAGAGTGAGTTGTAAAAAGCAAGTTTAATAGTTTATTGATTGTGACTGGACTGAAATACTAAAAACTTTATTTTCCATACAGAATGAGGACATGTTTAAATACAAATGACTGAAAGCTTCCTTAAATTGTAATGCAAATCACAGCAGGTTCACATCACTTTTCTGCCTTCTGACTAAAAATTTTGATACCCAAAGAGACTTCAAAAAGTTTGTGGAAAAAATTTTCCAAGAATTTTTTGAAGTCCCCTTTTAAAACAATATGCTTTATTGTTTATGTTGCTCATTTCTACTAATTGGAAAGATAGTTTTAAGAAATATGTGGACAGGTGTTAGCAATCCTTTGGTGTTACTTAAAGCACTGTACCCATTTACAGATGATATTGTGCTAGTAAATATTAGGATAAGTCAAAAGTATTGCTATAAAATATATACCTCTATTAAATAAAAGTATCAAAACGTGAAACTATTGTTTCTTGACTTATCCTCTATCTAGGTCTATAGATGTTTTCATCTCTAACCCTCTCCAGAAGACAATTTGCACCAGGTCAAAATGGCAGTTTGGGCAATGTTGAGGGACTCAGTCATATTCCTTTGAGATATTTTGAGTTTGGGGAACGTCTTGATGGAGCAAGAGCAAGCTGTAGGGTGGGTGGGTGGGTGTCTAGCTAACCTTGAAAACTGAGTTGTTGTTGTTAAGTGCCGTCGAGTCGGTTCTGACCCATAGTGACCCTGAACAGGGTTTCTGAGGCTGTAAATCTTTACAGGAGCAGAAAGCCTCATCTTTCTCCTGCAGAGCAGCTGGTAGTTTCGAACTGCTGATCTTGCTGTTTGCAGCCTGATTCGTAACCACTACACTACCAGAGCTGTGTTTTTTTATGGTGGAAAAAATTCAGTTCAACTTTACTGGCTTTTTTTTCTCACCAATATAGTTTTCAATTTTCTTAAAATTTAAGTCCCCTGATGGTCCTGTGTCATTTGAAAAAATCTCTCAAGATTACTACCCTTTTGCAATTCAAAAAAGCCTCCAAACCCCTTCTGTGCTGACTTCTATACCTCAGTCATTTGGACTGTTAATTTATGAAGGACTATATATAGTTCATTTTCCCCATTATAATAAAAGTTACAGAAATAGATAAATGGATTATTTTGCAACAGAGAGCTTTTAATCTTATTTTTTTAATTGGTTTTAAGAGTAAAGCATATTATAGAAAACCTGAAAAATCAGAAGTAAAATCAATCCCTTAACCTACATAGAATATCCACATTAATAATTGACATACATCCTTTTAGTCTTTTCTGGGCACACAGAATTTGTGATTTTGTTAGGTAATTAGTTTTATCTGTCTTTTGAAAGAACGAAATGTTTGCATTTTGAAAATGTATGTTAGTTTCACTGGAATTTAAAATTTTGGGCACCACACATTACTACCATTCTACAAATAAGTGCTGGAAGTCTGTTCGTTCCTGAGGCTGCCATTTTTAGGCAACAGGTTAAATTCTGTTTTTAATAGCAAAAATTGCTTAACAGGTATGCCACTATATTGGAGGAAGTAGTCTTAGTGTGGTGCTTTAGGATAAGCACTGGACTGCTCACTATAAGGTCGACAGTTCAAACTCATTTGCTCCTTGGAAACCCTATGCAGGATCACTATAAGTCAGATCCGATCCGATAGCCCTTAATGACAAGATGCTCGCAAATGTGGTCTAGAACAGCACTTTAATAGACGTTGTTTGCTACATCATCTTTCTGTGCAAAACAACAAAAAACCAACAATAAACAAACTCATGGAATCCATTCAACTATTTTGTTGTTTATTGTTGAATGGATTCCATGAGTTTCTGTGATGACTGACTCATGAGACAGTGTGGATCTAGATGTGCTGTCTGTTGTATTAGCCACACTTCAAGAGCTTGGCCACTTAGGTTGGGCTACCATGTTGATGTTGTTTAGTGCTGTCGAGTCAGTTCCAACCCATAGCAACCCTGTATAGGGTTTCCGAGGAGCAGCTGGTAAACTTGAACTGCCGACCTTGCAGTTCAAAAACGGCTTTGCAGTCTGGCGCATTAGCCCACAGGTGCAGATATAAAACAGTTGCATCACTAAAGAGTTAGGTTAAGACTGGTGGTCAAGGAATTGTCATGCAAAATGACTTTAAAACTTGGATAAGAAAGTAGGGGGGTATATAGTAGGTCATTTAAGGAGCTCTGGTAGCGTAGTGGTTATGAATTGGGCTGCGAACCGCAAGGTCAGCAGTTCAAAACTACCAGTGTTCCACGGGAGCAAGATGAGGCGTTCTGCTCCCATAAAGATTTACAGCCTTGGAAACCCTGTACAGGGTCGCTATGGGTCGGTTCCAACTCTACGGCACCATGGCACGTAACCACCACCACCATAGTAGGTCACTTCAATTGATCAGGAACTGAAGAATAGATGTATATTTCAGAAACAAACCTAGAATCAAGTCCTAGTATGGCACCATAGGATAAGCACTAGACCTCAAGGTCAGTTTGAACTGAAAAGGGCGGTTCAAACTCACCAGTTGCTCCTCAGAGACCCTATGTAGGTCACTATGACTCCACGACACTTAACCATTTGAATGTCTAATACATTAAGTGTTAAGCAACAAACATACCAGCTGTAAGTGAGGTTACTTACTACTGAGGCATTTTGGGGATAGGTTAATTTGCTTAGCAATTACATAGCTTAAAAAGTCCTGGTGTGGTGCTGTAGAATAAGCATTGATTGGACAGCTAACTGCAGCTAGTCGGTGCTTCAGTCGCTCCTTAGAAACCCTATACAGCAGGATTGGGAAGTGTGTAGCCTGTGGCCATATAAGGCCCTGTCAAGGCAACTGTTGCTCCAGTCAACTCATTAGGGGTGTAACATTTGTTATAGCATACTGAGACGTTTTTGATTTTCATTTTCTTACTCATTTTCATGCCCATTTAGCTTTAAGAGATCATTAGTGAAAATTGTTACATGGTTAACTTTTCCTGTAGACCAAACTTAATGCCTAATGTAAAGGAGTGGGAGTAAGCAAGTTAGAAGAGACAATATTGGGCAAACTAGAGAAATCTTACCCATGTGTAATAGGTAACCTTTATTGGTATTCAGCTTTGTTGTCATGTATATCCTTTTGTCCCAGAATAATACCTCACAAAATAAACTATGAAACTGTTCATTCATACATTAGACATAGTTTACTTTTTTCACCATTTTATTTTTGTGTACATACTTGTTTTAAATTAGGGAGTTTCTAGGCCTGATTCGGGTAGCTGAAGGGCTTTTATGAGTAGTTTATACTGTCTAGATCCAAGGTAAGCTGCAAACACAGTCTGGAGCAAAATGGGAAATAGCATCTTTCTAAAGACAGGTTTAGAAATTCTGATCCAGTAAGTTAAGATGTTTCCTTTCTCTGGTAGCAAGGCTGAATTATACCTGTAAGAAAACATTGAGACATTTTGTTTTTTAACACTTGGCAAGCCTATGTACAGTCTTAGCAGTCTTAAGATAAAACTGGTTCAGGTAAAATTAGACTGCTGTCCCCTTTGTTGTCAATTATTCTTAAAAAGTACTCTTCCTGTTTTCTTTCATTCCTTTTTCCAGTTCAATTCTAGAGGCTCAAATAGCATAAATTGCTTGGTGTAAGCAGGCTAGGCTTATAGCTAGATATTTTCTGATGAAATTTTCTTTGGTGGAAGTACTCACACTCATCTAAGAACAACTGTGTGTACATGAGCACAGTACTGTTTGCAGTGAGCATTTAATCCAGATCAAGGTTAATAACTACACATTTTAAAGAGCAAAGTTCTATAACAGTTTAAACCTAGAGATTTCTGAGAAGTACTTAAATATGAGGGAAAAAAAATCTTTTTAGTTCTTTAAAATAAAGAATGTGGATTGTCTTGGGTTTAACAGTCTTTAAAATGAAAATATATTTGCTACTTCTAATTTGTCTAGGTAGTCATATTACCATTTTTCAGTTATCATGAGAAAAAAAAAATTAATCCTACCTGGCTGCTAGGCCACCATTCACAGGTATAGCCAAGATTATAGGATAAAGACCACCAAAAACAAGACCAACTAATCCACCCCGTGTTACAGTACAAGTTTCACAGCTCAAATTACCTAGGAAATAAATAAGTTAGTTCTGGAAATGAAGATTAGGATAGTCAGACATGACACAAATTATACAAAGTACCTTTTTATATATCAGATTCTGATTTTCCTACTATTGTCAAATACACAACACAAAAGTATAAGCTGATGAAATAAATACAATTCTGTAAGACATGTTAAAAGGTATAATTATTAATATACACGAATAAGAAAATAGCCAAGAATAAATAAGACGATTTTAGGAAATTTTTGATTTGTTCTGAACTTGAATTAATTCAGGGTTTTGACTGCTGTTAGCTTTTTTGATGTACCTTCTATCAGCAGATCTGAATTAATATTTCTATGCCTTTAAGAAACTTTGTTAACCTGTGGGAACTTTCTGGGATAATTATCTGTGGAATTTTATAAAAATAGTTAAAAGTATGTAAAGTTCATACTCATTTACTAGAGAGTATAAGGTATATTAAAAATAGAAAGTTAATAACTTACATCCTTAGTCTGGTCATTGAGCAATTTTCCCTGATCATAAAAATTATTTCCAACAAGATAATAAACCAATTGAAACAGATATGCAGCAGCACTACCCAGAAGAGAATCTCCCTTCAGCCCCCATGGTACAATATTTTACTTAGAAAATTTTCATGGTTAGCTATATTCAAAGCACACTGCATATATGGTAAATTTTCAAAAGAAAATAAAGCCTCTATATACTTGGTAATTCTTTTATACGCATGAGGGCTTTACTGCACGGTCTTAGTCTCATAAAAAGCTTTTTCTCCTTTAAGGAATTGTCTATAAAATAAAGCATTTATAAAACCTAAGCAATCAACTTTAATGATTTCTTACTGTAAATGAGCACCATGGAAAAGACAAGCTAGATTAAGCAGAAATGCTGTGCACGTGTCATCACTTTGGAGACGAGACAGCTAATATGAATTAGTTGCCACCCTAAATGGAGATGCTATGCTATTAAGGTTCAGTGGAAACCAAACCAAATTTTACAAAGCTAGTTGGTATTGACATTTGTTAAGTATTAATTTAAATAGCAAATAATATATACCAAGGCAGACTTAAGTGATAATGAAACAGAATTTACCTGTACTCAAAGGTAAGCTTACAAAACTTTTGTAAGATAGTTCTGCTGTCAAAAATGGCATCACTGCCATTGGCAAGCCAGCAGCTATGCGAGCCTGCGTCACATTTAAGACACGTCGAAAAAGACTATTTGCTATTAAGCCACAGAGAGCAGCATTCAATCCAATGTATGCTGATCCATTTTCAAGTAGATTCCTGTGGATAAAAAAAGAAAACTTTTTTCCTTGGTTCAATTGTGTGTCTGTGATATCCCAGTTTTAGCATATGTTACAGAATGAATTGACCAGGACTTTGATTAACTGGATACAACACATATCCCTAATAGGGCCATTAAACAAAAATCTCAGTCATATTTTACATAAAGATTTTTATGTAAAGGATTTCAGATTTTGTCAACACCTAAGGATATGTTCGTGTTAAGTGCCGATGAATCCGTTCTGACTCAAAGCGACCCTGTATAGGGTTTCCAAGAAGCAGCTAGTGGGTTTAAACAGCCGACCTTGTGGTTCGCAGTTCAGTGCTGATCCTACAGTGCCATACCGGAAGTCAAGAATATAGTGATATGTTTAGATTTTAGAAATTAGTGTTGCACTGTAGGATCAGCACTGGACTGGTAACTAACTGCAAGGTCAATAGTCCAAATCCACCAATCGCTCGGGGAAACCCTCTATAGGGTCACTATGAGTTGGAACTGATTCAAATGCACTTAACCCCAACAAATTCTCTGCATTGTTAAGTTTTGGAACAAATTCTTAGAATTACAGATGGAAAATAATTCAGTCTACCATTTAACTTTTTTACTACTTGCCTTGGCAAAATTCCTCATTCCTTTTAACTATAGCCACATTGTTGTTGTTAAGTGCCATCGAGTTGGGTCCGACCCATAGCGACCCTGTACAGGGTTTCCGAGGGTGTAAATCTTTACGGGAGTAGAAAGCCTCATCTTTCTCCCGCGGAGCGGCTGGTAGTTTCGAACCGCTGACCTTAAGGTTCGCAGCCCGATTCGTAACCACTACGCTACCAGAGCTCCTTTAACACTCTGGTTAATACATCTTAAACAGCTTTTCTAGGAATTCCTAATTAAGTTTCCTATACCATCGAATGTAGTACTTCTTTGAGTATATTTTCTTACAAGTCATTTTGAAATTATACCATGTCAGTCACTCATTGAGTATGTACTATGCAGCCGACTCGGTGTTAGGGCACAAAATAATTATCTTTTATCTTCAAGGTATTCATAGTTGACTGTGAACTTAAGCTAAAACAAAAATTTATAAAACCATAATAGCAGTACAAAAGAAGCAGTTTAGTAACTTCTATAGTATGGAAGATACTAGAGAACCTACCAAATAATAAACTAACAGAGAACACGTAAATGTAAAAGACTTCTGGTTTCTGTGGGCGTTGAGAGAATATTCCAAAATACTAAGAATTTCATCTTAACTGTTCCAGTGAAATATTTATTATCCTCATTTTAGTCATGGGAATGAATGCTCAGGTAAATAATTTGCCCACAACAAGAAAACTAGTGCAACTAGAATATGACTAGCCAAGTTTGCTGTCTCCCATCCAAATTTTAAGTTCCTTCAGGCAATCTGCTCATGTAAAGATTACATGTCTAGAAAACCCTGCCAGGCAGTATACACAGCATCACTACTGAGTCAGAATTGATGAGACAGCACCTAAGAACATGGCTAAAGTCACATTTTAGTAATTCTGTAAGCACAAAATTACTGTTAGCAGGTCCTTTTTAATCAACGTTCCAAAATGGTACCCATATAAATAGCAGCTCATGACTTTGCAAAACAGACACATGAAACAACTGTAACACCAACTTTAATAAATGGCAATAGGATACATGAAATACTGTAGTTTCAAAAATATATATATGTTTAAATTTCATACAATTAACTTTTCAAATAACTACTGGACATATCTAATTGATAATACAAGAAAGTAAGAATTCAAACTTAGGAAAAACAGGATATATGGAAAAGGACAGGAAAAAAGGAACAAGGAAAAGAAATGCTGCAATCTGCTGTATGTGTCAGTTATGTTCAAGAACAGTGTATTGGCATGGTGAAATAAGCACTGGACTGCACACCATAAGGTCAGCAGTTCAAACCCAACAGGTGCTCTGTGGGAGAAGGATGAGGCTGTATCCTTAAAAGATTTACAGTTTTGGAAACCCTATATTGCTGTGTTGGAATCAACTTGATAGCAGTGGGTTTGGTTTTGGTTTTGGTTTTGGTTTTAAACCTAAACCAGTTCCAGCTTACTTCCCCATGCTTCCCTTTTCTGGTGAAGGTCTTAAGTGAGAGAGGCTGCTTTCTTCTCAAATTATCTACTCTGTTTTCTTTAATCAGTCTTCAGGTTTTCCTACTTTGCTGGCCTGAAAACGGATAACAAGCTCTTTTTAAGAGTTTTTGTTAATTGATACAGCATGTAATGATGGAACTGATGCATTTGAGTTAGTGTTGGAGAATACCAAAAGTACCGGGAAATGCTAGAAGAACGAACAATTCTATGTTGGGAAAAGTAGTCAGAATGCTCCTTAAAAGGGTGAGATTTGTCTCTTATGCTTCAGACATTATCAGGAGACACCAGTCCCTAGAGCTGCGAACCTTAAGGTCAGCGGTTCGAAACTACCAGCCGCTCCGCGGGAGAAAGATGAAGCTTTCTACTCCCGTAAAGATTTACACCCTCGGAAACCCTGTACAGGGTCGCTATGGGTTGGAACCGACTCGATGGCACTTAACAACAACAAAGTGGAAGGTCAGTTAAAAAGAGGAAGACCCTTAACGAGATGGATTAGCACAGTGGTAACAAACAGCAAAGGGTTCAAGTGGAACAACTGTGAGGATGGCGCAGCATACGGTGGTGTTTTCGTTCTATTGTGCACAGGATCACTGTGAGGTGGAACCGACCTGATGGCACCTAACAGCACATTGAGTCTGTAGGATAAACACTGGCCTGTTAACAAGGTTGTTGGCTCTAGTCCACCAGCCACTCTTGAGGAAGAAAGGGACTTCCTGCTGTAAAGATTTACAGCTGTGGAAACCCTATACAGAGGTGCTGAGTCAGAACTGACTTGACAGCACTTAACCCTCATTTGTTTAGAATAAGCACTGTGGGTTAATGCGTTGGACTGCAAAGTCGGTTTGAACTGCAAGATCGGTTTTTCAAGCTCACCAGTCGCTCTTTGGAAACCCAATACAGGGTTACTATGGGTTGGAACCAACTCGACAGCACTTAACAGCTAACCACAAGATCAGTGGTTCTAACCTACCAGCAGCTCCTTGGAAAAATCCCATACAGTATTGCTGTGAGTTGGAACTGATTCCACAACACTTAACAAGAAAACAAAACAAAAGTATATGTGCAGATGGTTTGGGAGGTGGGAGGAGATTTACAGCTTATTAAATTTCACCAAGTTCTTTTTACTGTTCTTGGTTTATAAGCTCTTTCTTGTTAAGTGGAAACAAGATTGGGCGTTGTAGAGTGTTCATTCCTAAATAGAGTAAAATTTTATTTCCCAAATAGATCAATTACATCTTTTCATCTCAACTGCCACCTAGGATTTCTATGTCACCTTTTCTACTGGTTGTCTACTTACTTTCACTCCTACTTCAAATCAATGTCCCATCAAACAATTTGATCTTAAAAATATTAGCCTGTTTTAAAATTCTTCCAGTTCCTCCAACTTTATATCCAGTTTCTGTACTTCAGGTACATTGATTCCTTGTAAATGACAAACTCCTATCTTGTGGCCTAGTCGTATGTCCTTCCCTTTACTCAAAATGCTCTTGTCTTCTCTTCATCCCTTAGGGCTCAGCTTTTAATACCTTTAAATGTACCCTATATAGCCTGTTTCTCAATATTTTAAAGATCTTTTGTCCAGGACTATTTCTCAAACACCAGTGATCAAGTTAACGTGCGTTCCACAGACCTATTTTAGACTGATAAATATAAAATGATAAGAGTGAGTTAAAATTTAAAAGTTACATTAAGATTTATTACAGAAATGGATGTATAATTAATTTTACTGTACTGCACACTGAATAACTGAACAAGGGGATATTGAATGGTTTAAAAACAGGAAAGGTTTGTGCCAGGGTTGTATTCTTTTACCATGCTTTTTCAATCTTTGTTCTGAACAAATAATCCAAGAAGCTGGATTATCTGAAGAATAACATAACATCAGGATTAGAGGAAGACTCATTAACAGCTGGTATGCAGATGATAAAACCTTGCTTGCTGGAAGCAAGGAGGTCTCAAAATACTTAGTAATGAAGATCAAAGACTACAGCTTTCAGTATGGATTATGCCTCAATGTAAAGAAAACAAAAATCCTCACAACTGGGTCAATAAAATCATGCTAAATGGAGAAAAGATTGAAGTTGTCGAAGATTTCATTTTGTTTGCATCCACAATTAACACTCATGGAAGCAACAATCAAATGGTATACTGCAGCAAGCAAATCTGCTGCACAAGACCTCTTTAAAGTGATTAAGAATAAAAACACCTGTTTGAAGACTAGGGTGCACCTGACCCAAGCCATTTTCAGTAGTCTTACATGCATGTGAAAGTTGGACAATAAGAATTGATATATTTGAATTATAGTGTCAGAGAAGAATATTAAAAGTAATATGGACTGCCAGAACAACAAATCTGGGTTGGAAAAAGTACAACCAGAATGCTCCTTAAAGCCATGATGGGGAGACTTCGTCTCTCATACTCTGGGCATGTTATTAGGAGGGACCAGTCCCTTGAGAAGGACACCAAGGACATCATACTTGGTAAATTGGAGTTAGTGAAATGAGGAAGACCCCCGATGAGATGGATTGGCACAATGGTAGCAACAACATACTCAAATGTAACAATTGTGAGGATAGTGTGTAACCAGACAGTGTTTTATTCTGTTGTGCATGGATTCACTGTGTGTTGGCTTGACGGCACCTGACAACAACAGAAACAACACAGTGCATTGTAGGATAAGCACTGAACTGCTAACCACAAGATTGGCAATTCAGACCCACTGGCTGCTCTCTTGGAAACCCTATACAGAGTCGCTATGAGTCGGAACAGACTGGATAGCACAAAACAACACAATTAGGTATGTCCAGTGATAAAAATTCTAGCCTTTTAAACTTCCATAATAATCATGTGACCTTGAGCAAAAAGGTTTACCTTTCAGTTTCTATCTGACATTCCATATTAATTATACTCAATTTTCAGATAACGTTACCAATGATGAAAACTCCACCTGGTATCTTACTTTTCTACTTCTGGAAGCTGGTTAATTTTTCTGGTTATAATACTGAGAGTTAAATTCTCCTTTATAGTATCTGGTTCACTGTTTTCCATCTTGAAGTCTTAAGAAAAAACAAAACATGAAAATACTTTTAAAAAATATTGTCTGTAGAAAACCAACAAAGGGATTTCTTTTTAACAAAATTAAAAAAAAAAAAAAAAAAGCATACTCACCAATTCTCACCCCTACAATTATACTAGGTGAAACAGAAACCAGACATGAAAGGTAATAACATCAAGCTTCTAAAATTACAGTTACTCCACAATCTTTAAAAAATTAGTTTATAAATAGCACTAAACAAAAAATTAAGAACTTATATTCAATTGATACCATTAAGATACGCTAGTATGGGAGAAAATGTTTGCAATGTAAATGACAAAAAGTATTAGTACTCAGAACACAAAAAAACCTACAAGGAAAAAAAAGGCTCAATAAAAAACTGAGAAAACATTGAGCAACTGAAAAGGTTGCTATGAGTTGGAACTGGGTTGAAAACACCAATTTCACTTCTTAGAGTATGGGTCAGCAAACTTTCATCTTAGGGATCAGAGAATCTTTTAGTGTGGTACTGCAGGATAAGCAAAATAAACCAGCAATTCTAGTTTCCAACAACTCGGTGGCACACAACAACGACATACGTATACAGAGCCCTGGTGGTGTCGCTGGTATGAGTCAGGCTGTCAACCACAGGGTTGGCAGTTTGAATCCACCAGCTGCTCCTTAGGAGAAAGATGAGGCTTTCTGCTTTGTAGAGATTTACAGCTTCTGAAACCCTATACAGGGTCACTCTGAGTTAGAACCCACTAGATAGCACACAATGTATATATAAAGGGGCTCCAAAAAGTTTGTGGAAAAATACCATTAGCTGTCCACAAACTTTTGAAGTACCTTTGTATATAAGTAGTTTTTGTCAAAGTTTTTTTTTTTTTTTTCTTAACTATTTTTCAACCCTGTAAGGCCCCAGAGTACTGGTGTGGCACTGTAGGATAATCACTAGTGTGCTAATTGCAAGCCTGTGGTTCAAATCCATCAGCTACGCCTGGGAAACCCTATACAGGGTCACTATGAGAAAGAACTAAAAGGCACTTAACATTTACAGCACCATTTGGAAAATGTAAAGGGCACAATAATTCCATATCCCTGCAAATAAAATTAATGTAGGCTTAGAATTTAAGGCTCAAAATGGAGTCTTGGTTACAGTAACATGACAGACACGTGTGTTCAAAAGTCTATGCTGTACGTAGAAACTAGAAAACCTTCCTCAGATGCCCTCTCCAATGTCTCTAGTGAGAGGGAACTAGTCATTTCTATGTTGTTGTTGTGAAGTGCTGTCGAGTCGGTTCCAACCCATAGCTACTCTGTATAGGTTTTCCAAGGAGCAGGTGGTGAGCTTGAACTGCCAATCTTGCAGTTCAAAAGCTTTTGCAGACTGGCGCATTAACCCACAGCGCCACACCAGGCATTTCTATGCATCACCCTTAATTCGGTACAAGTTCTGTACAGGCAGTCCCGGTGTGACACTGTCTCCGCTATTAGTAATAAATTCCTCTTCTACCCTATTTAAAGGCAACAATGCCACCTTTAAATACTATAAACGTTCCAAAAGGCTTTTGCACTAGCCATCGCGTCATTTCTGGGCAGCCTGGGAAAACGAAATTTGGCCAAGGTCATTCTGAAAATTAGCAGTAAACGTGGGATTAAGTTTTTATCTCTAGCATTTGCATTATTTTCTTTCCTTGTACTGACTTACTTTAAATATAGTCTTTCCTTGTAGAATGTAAAGTGTAAAGACTATCAGCATCATAGAGTCGACTCCCCTACTTTCCCCGCGACCCAATTCCAAGGCCCCATTCACGTGCTGCCAGCGACCAACGTGCTGGAGGTGACACACAGACATAATCTGCACCTTCGCCCCGGCATCTCAGTACCTTATGCTCCTTTCTTTTGCAGTCGATGCCTTTCCCGTTCTTCCTCAGCTGCGCCAGGGAGCTCACGGCAACCTCTGCTCAACTAGCATGGGCGCAGCCATCTTTAGCTGACACGTGACTCGGCCGGCGCTTGATTGGGCTCCCAGGTTCGAGTGGGGCGGTTTCCTACAGACAGGCTTCCGGCTGAGCAGCAACGTTTGGCGGGTTTGTAGGTACTCCTTACTCTGTTTATCCAGGTCCCTTATGTTAAGACCGGTAGAAACTGAAGTTTTGTGATGGAAATTGCATTCCAGCAGAAAACGTGTGCGACTTTGGTTGGTGTTTATATGCCATAGTGGACCCTGTATAGGGTTTCAGAAGCTGTAAATTTTTACAGGAGAAGAAAGACTCATTTTAACCATCCGAACTTCTGGTGTATTCTAACTGCTGACTTTATGGTCAGCAGCCCAAATCTTAGTCCGCTACACTACCTGGGTTCCTTTTTGTTAAGTGCCATAGAATCAGTTCCGACTCATAGAGACTCTGTAGGGTTTCTGAGGAGCGGCTGGTGAGCTTGAACCGCCGACCTTGGAGTTCAAACTGACCTTGCAGTCCAGTACTTTATTCTACAGCACCACACCAGGACTCCAGGGTTCCTTAGGCATGTTGTTGTAACTACCAGATTACTGGTAGTATTAACTACTCTGTTAATTCCTGATGATGATGGAGTATATTTGAAGTGCACAAAGCCTTGGCATATAACGGTGCACAGGTTAAAAAGTTTTTTAAAAAATGCGATTTCTTTGCTCCATTAGTTTGTTTCTCCCTCTTGGATATTCAGTTCTCTATTCCATTGATTTCCAAATTCTTCTTGAATTTCCCACCATAATCTGAGTCCTCAAGGGCAGGAGTTTATTTTTATGGCACCTTGCAGACTACTACTTGAGAGGCAGCATTGGGTAATTGTGAGGAAAGAAAGCTAGGGAACCTACTGTCTCCAGTCAGGACAACCTAAGTCTTGGACCTGGTCTCTGAAGACCCTTGTTTCCTTCCTCATCCATCCACCTTCACTCATCCATAAAATAGAAATAACTCATTATTTTGTAAAGTTGTAGGGATACAATAAGAATGCTTACAAAGGTTGCTTTGAAAATCACTGCGCTTTATTAAAGAATGTTGTAGTCAAGAAATAGAAGCCTTCATAGAGAAGCAGAAGAGAGTCCCCAAAATTACTTAGCTGAGAGGAATTTAGTTAATCATTTCTAATCAATTAATCAAAACAGCTGTGAACCTCATTTAGCAATTAGAAATATGGTTGAGTTTTATAAGACATATGTCAAAGTTTGAGAAAACAGGTTTAATTAAGCTTCTAACTAAAATACTTTTTTTAAACTGAATACTTTGTTTTTAAAACTTTCATGCTTTTATTCCAATTTCATTTTAAAAGGTTTAGAAGTCAGTTTGTTAAGTGCCTTCAAGTCAAGCTTGTGGTTAAAACCAAGTTTGTGGTGGTGGTGGTGTACCATAGAGTTGAACCACAAGGTTGGCAGTTCACGCTCACCAGCTGCTCCTTGGAAACCCTATACAGGGTCACATAGATCGGAACCGACTTGACGGCACTTAACAACAACAGTGGGGTCATGGCTCCTCAAATCTCTTCTCCATTAGATAGCTGGTTGTTGTTGTTAAGTGCCATCGAGTCAATTCTGACTAATAGCAACCCTTTATAGGGTTTCCAAGGAGATAGCAGGTAGGAGAGATTAATAATTAGATTACACTATAACCTACTAAAAACTCTCTTCAGTGGTGTATGTGCATATCTGTCTGACTGCATTACACATGCAGACAGACTGTGCCTCAAACTTCAGGCAGCTGTAACACTGCTAGGAATGAGACGTATACACCCACTGACATCAGCAGTCCATACATCTTTGATCCAGCAGGATATTTACATAGTGTTGGCAAAGTGCAAGCCATTATTATATTTATAGGAAGCAAACAGTAACACATTGTTAAAAGGAGAAACAGATGTCAGATGCTGTACTTGCATCACTGCTGCCACCACATTCATTGCTTGGGAGGCCTGTATGGCTCCTGAGCCTTCTGCTCTGCCACTGGGCCTCGCTGACATCTGTGACAGGTTCTTGCCAGGCTATCTGGGTCTGAAGGGCTCTTTTGCCACCTGCCACCCAGTTGGTTGGGGGTGGGGGGTGGAAGGCATGCACCCCCTGTATGGGACACACTTTAGTAGGCTCTCATTGCCCTGGACAAACAAGTGCGACAACTCTTTACTCCACTGGCAAACCTCCTGCCCAAAGATGTTAGCTCTTTCCTGCTGTAGGAAGACCCTTGCACAGGATCCTCTGAGGTAACCCCTGCACAGGGAACACTCAGGCCTTTGCTCTGGACAAGCAAGAGTTACAACTCTTGTAGCTCCACCAGCAAGCCTCTTGCCCAAAGGTGTTCAGCTCTTGTTCCATAAGCTGGCAAACCTTCACTGTGGTCTCATTATCTTGCACTGTCTTCAGAGTTTGTTCTTTCTTCTGCGTCTGCGAGGTTCTCTGCACAGATACACTAGTTAGTCCAAAGGATGCTGTCTATTCCAGACTGCTTTCTGATGGGATTGGTCTTTATATAAGTCTGTGCTGTTGTTGTTGATTCCCTGTGTACAAGACAAGACAAGACTGCCCAGTCCTGGGCCATCTGCACACTCATTGCTGAGTGTGACCCATTATTGCAGCCACTGTGTTAACCCATCTCACTAAGGATCTCTCTCATGACTTGGTAGCATGATACTCTTCTCTAGAGGCTAGTCCCTGCTGACATATCCAAAGTACATGAGACAAAGCTTCTGTAGCTTTGCTTCTATTCGGCATTCTGGCTGTACTTCCAAGATTTATTTGTTCTTCTGGCAGTCCAAGGTATTCTTTGTTGACATCATAACTCAAATGGGCCTGTTACTGTTAGGTGCCACTGAATCAGTTCTGACTCATAGGGTCCCTATGTACAATAGAATGAAACCTTGCTCTGTCCAATGCCATTCTCAGAACTGTTGTTATGTTTGAGCCCATTTCTGATGCCACTGTGTCAATCCCTCGTTTTGGAGGTCTTCATCTTTTTCAATGACCTTCCACTTTATCAAGCAG